ACGCCCGAGCCCGCACTCGGCTCCGCGGACGGCGGCGGCGTGGAAGCTGCAGTCCAGGTTTGGTCACCGAGCACCGAGCAGGCCTCGTTCCCGCGCAGACACGCAGGTCGCGCTGCGCGCCCCACGCAGGCGCTTCCGGAGCTGCGCTGTCACAGCCTTTCACCCGGAAGTCCTTGCTTCTGAAGAACCGCACGCGCAGGAGCAATGCGTCCTAAGCTGCCGGGCAGGGCGGTGTCTGGGCAGCTGGGACTGGACGTCGCGGAGGCCAGGGAGGAGGGCCACGGTGGGTGAGGGTGACCCCTCCCCTCCTGTCCGCCCCGGAGACTTGTGCCTTCGTCCGGAGCTGACCGCCAAGTCGGCTAGGATGAGGATAATTTTAAACTGGAAAATAAGAACCGTGTGGGGAGCCTGGACCTGCCGGTGCCTGGCACACGGGCCCCCGCCGCGGCTGCACCAGGAGCCCAGCTTCGGGCTGGCATTGACCCCGAAGGGCAGCAGCCACGAGCCGCTCACAGCGCTGCCCGCGCGCCCGCCGGCCTCCACGGCAGAGGCCCCGGCAGCGACGCTCAGGACACAGCTGCCTTTCCAGTCGCTAGCAGGGCTCTTCAGGGTCCACCCAGGGCGCCGTGGGGACCACTGGGGTGGGCCTGGCTCCAAGGCCGCTCCAGAGGCTGGCCCGGCGGCCACTGCTGCCCCCTGGAGGGAGAGACGGGGATGGCTGCGCACCCTGCTAATGGAGTGGCCCTTCCACAGCGGCGGACGAGCCCGCACGGGAGGCCAGGGACGAGGGACCGCTTCAGCCTCCTTGGCAGCCCCTCTTTGCCCCTCAAACAGCCTAGGGACCCCCTTTGCTCTCTCCCCTTCCATGCTGTCAGGACCACACACTCTGGGGTCCAGGTAGATTCTGGGGAGCCCACCACCTCACCCCAACCCAGCCCTCGCCCCTCTGGCTGGCTGGATGCCCGGCTGCGGCCACACGCTGGGTAGGGCTCCTGGCGGAGGGCGGGCAGTGCGGAGGGTGCCTAGGGTTCCTGCCAACCCCAGGACCCAGGGCAGCATCAGCACTGTGGAGAACACACACACACAACCAAACTGACACCCTGAGCCCAGCACGCGTCACGGTCATCCTGGCTCACCTGGCTCTCCTCAACTCCCCCTGTTTCCCACAAACTGGAATTCCCATGTGAACAGTTGGGCTCTGCTAGTGTGCGAAGGCCCGGTGCAGTCTTGGACCGGGGTCACAGGACGTCTCTGCTTTTCCATCCCCGGCAGACGGCCATGAACTTGGCCACGGTGCCGTTCCTGTGGTGTTCCTTCAGCACTTGGTTCTCACTCCCTGCTCATGGCTTTGGTGAACCCAGCGGAGCCCCAACTGTCCCCACCAGCCCCGCCACGTGCAGAACCCTGGCTGCAGCACATGCTGTGGTGAAGCACACCCCATTGACCCCACGCTCCCCCTAGCAGCCAGGGGGCGCCACTCGCAGTGGAACCCAGACCGGGTTCCTCTGCTCAGGACCGGCCATGCACATGAGCCCAAAGCACCACCACCTACGGGGCCTCCTCAACCCCACTTCACCCAGCCCTGCGTCCCCCAAGACTGCTCAGCCACATTCATGGAAGTCTACCCCGGCCCGCATGCCCTGCCTGTGTGACGGGAGCAACATCCAGATGTTAAAACAAGGTCAAGCCCTGACTCAGATGGGAGCGGGAAGCTAGTGGACTCCACGGAGGCCCAGAGTGGCCGAGTGCAGCCTCCATTTGCTGTCTCAAATTCTGGACCCCTCCCAGCACTTCCACTGATACTGGGGATGCCGGGGCCGGCAGCATTGGGGCCACAGGGCAGAGACATGCTGCTGGAGGGGGAAAGGTCAGGACCCCCACTTCCCCCACACCCTGGCCTAGCGCAACAAAGAGAAAGCTGGCAGCTGGGGGTGGGCAGGAAAACGGACAAGATGCAGACCTGCACTCAGACTTGCAAGCCATTTTCACCAAAAACAAAGGTTAGCCATGGGGCGGAGCCTGGAACCCCTGTGCTGGGGGGAGGGGGGTCCACTGCCCTCTTCCTGGCTGTGACACCCGAACTGGATCTGACAGCACAGTGTCAGGGCGGGGCACAGCCCCCAGCGGATGCAGATTGAAGGCCCAGTGACCAGATGGGGACAGAGGGGCTGACCTGCCCAGGTTCTCGTGGGGCAGTGCGAAGTGCCCAGGCGGCCTCTGCCAGTGTCCACGCTCACCCCACAGCACACGTGGCCTCAGGGGCCGTGGCCCACACACATGGTGGTGGCTTCAGGAGCCGTTCTGCACAACAGGAAGCCGCCTGTGCTCACAAACAGACCAAGTTACAACAGCCCACAGCTCTCAGGCTCCTTCAGAGTTGGGAATCAACGCCCAGCGCGGACGGTGTCCTGGTGTGGACCAGTGAGGGTGGGGGTGGGGACGCCCCCCTCACAGCCCATGGCCAGTGGCAGAGGAGAGGCTGCTCCAGAGAGTCTCTGGGGAATCTGCACTATTCATGTTTGGCAAAAGCAGCTCAGGGCCAGCGTGTCACTCCAGGATGCCACCTGTCCTGCCACCCACACCAGAGGCTGAGCCCACAGACAAGGCCCTGGATAGGATTGGGCGCCTCCAGGCATTGGTGGCAGGCAAATCTACAGGGAGGCCCAGCCCACTCAGGACCGGCCCGGCCTCCTCGAGGGCCGCCTGGAGGGCTCAGAACCCTCACAGCTGCCCCAGCCCAGGTCCTCAAGGCCAGCAGCACCCTGGCTCAAGACCCCAGGTCCCCGATTCCTGTTGTGCCCAGTTGAGGGTCCTGGCTTCCAAGCCAGGAAGAGCCTGGTTTTGGGTGGTGGACGGGGACCTGGACAGCCCATGGGCTGCAGGGGAGAGGGAAGGGCTCTGGGTCACCAGCCCAAGCCAGGTGGAAGGAGCCACCACCCAGTCAGCTTTCAAAGGTGACATTCTTCACAGTCCTGGGGGGGAGGGGAACACTGTGCCCAGGCAGGGACTATAGGCAGCCAGGTGTAGGGCTCCCGGCCACTACAGCCTTGCCTGCTCTGGGCTATAAATAGTCCCAAGGCAAATGGCAGATGTGAAGACATTTATCCTCAATTACAGGGGTGATTGTGAGTCTTCAGGCCTCGGGGAAATGTTGCAGTTCTCTAAAAAAAAAAAAAAAGTAGCTAACCCAAGTTGGCCAGAAGGCTGAGTCTGGGGAAGCAGTGGGGGTGGGATGGAAGGCCTGCAGGGGCACCTTGCAGGGGCCCCGTGAGGGGCAGCTCCGCCAGCCCAGGAGGGGCCCAGCCTGCCACTGCTAGGCTGCAGCCTTGTTCTGTGGGCGGGGTTTACCGAGAGCTGTTCTGGACTCCGCACCTGTCCCCTGCCGTGCTGGCCTAGCCGGAAGTCCTGAATGCACAGGCCTGGGCCTGGGGTGTGGCTCAGTGCCAGGGCCCTGTGCACAGGCCAGGGAGACATGGGCCTCGGGGCCTCGGCCGTGCGCTTCCCACAGGAAGGACCAGGGCTTCCCAAAGAGCCGGGGGTTGGTCCTCAGCCTCCCCGCGCAGGGGTGGCCGCCCCAGCGCCAAGCAAATCCTCTCACCACCTCCCTTCTTGCTTGCCCCAGAATGACCAGAGAGGGCTGTGTGTGAGCCCTGGCCCCACGTGCTGGCTGAGCCACTCCCCCCTTCCCTGAGAGGACACGGGGGTGGCTGTGAATTTAATATTGTAATAACCAAACCCACGGGGCACACAACCATGAATGCATCGTAAATTCTGAGGGCCACTAATGAGACCGCACTCCTGCTGGAGCGGTTGTCAGGATAAACACGCAAAATCGATGGCTGCAGCCTGGAAGAGACCCGGAGCGGGGCACGCCTGCTGCTGCTGCCGCCGCCACCGCCGCCGCCACCACCGTGGCCGGGGCCACTGCACGGGGCCAGTGCCGACAAAAGGGGCCAGCAGCCAGGCCCGGCCTCACGCGGCAGTTTAAAGCAAGCCTGTGAGACCCTCATCTCCAATTAATACCAAGAAAACTCGACATAGAGCTGTGGCTCAAGCGCTAGCCTTGAGCAAAAAAAGCTCAGGGACAGGGCTCAGGCTCTGAGTTCAAGTCTTGGACCAGCACAGAAAAAAATGGAAGGGGGTGTTATAAAGACACTATAGCTAATGTGAAAAAACTTCTAGAATGCAGCCAACTCTGTTCTCTTTGATAGCTTTCTTCCCCATCCGAAGGGAATCTGGCGGGAAGGCGTGAGGCGTAGGCCAGGATTGTTCCACTTCTGCTGTGGATTTCATCTCCCGTCTCCCCTCTGCTCTGGGAAGGCCAGGTGATTACAGTTGTTTGTCTCCTATGTTAAGGGGAGGCTGGGCGGCCTGTGGGAACAGCAGCCTGACAATTGGTGGCCCGTAACTATTGAGCAATTTTTTGCACAATTCAAAACTCATTTTTTTGGCCAAGGAATCGGTTTAACAAACACATCCCACTCTTGCTGAAAATAATTTCTTTTCTTCTCTTTATTTTCTTCTAGGAATAAAGCACTTTAATGTATTTGCCAGGAATCAACACTTCATTTAATAAGATTTAAAAAGTGACAATTTAAAGATAAATTGAGAAGTCCCTCACCCCTCCAGGGCTCTAGCTAAAACCAGAGAGAGAGAAGTAGGGAGAAAGCGGCTCTCCTCAGGTGGGTGGCCCTCGGGCAGCCTGGTGGGGGGGGGGGGGAATGGATGGATGGATCCTCCTGCTGCGGTCTCAGGGTGGGGCGGGTTCTGGTGTGGCGTGGCGTGGTCACCTCCTGTCCAGGTGGAGCCCTGGTGCAGGAGGAGGACTCCAGCCCTGTGTGTCTGTCCTGTCCCTCCTGCTCATGTGGCTTTGTCCTACGCCTGTCTGGTGACACTCTCGAGTGTGGCCTGCAGGCCGGGCTTTCAGGGCAGGGCCGAGCTGCTGTGGTCTGGAGCGGAGCCGGTCTGACCAGTCTTGTCCCATCTGCCCATCCCGACAGCGACAGCGCGGGCTGGGGCCTGAGGGGTGCACGGGGCTCACAGGTTTCAAGTGCCCTGGGCCTGGGCCTGCTCCCCCAGTCCTGCTTATCTAATAGAGGTGTCTTCAGAAGGCAGGTGGGGCCGGGAGACGGGCAGTGGGGCCGATGGCACGGGGAGCCGGGGCCTGGCAGAGGTGGTGAACGTGAGGCTGGCCACGGGGCTCACTCCTCTGCCCTTCACCTGCCCGGCCGCCCGCCCGGGGCAGCGGTGGGCTCAGGCGGGCTGGAGGCAGAGGCCCTGGAGCTCTCCTGGACATGGGCACAGAGGTGCTGAGCGGGCAGCGCAGCAAACGGGTGCGGGGCTGGAGCCGCCCCAGGCAGCGCCCCCCTCCCCCACCCCATGGAGGAGCGGAGTTGGGGCTGGGACGGCTGACCAGGCACTTTTCCCCACAAGACTGCCGACCCGCAGGGCCCCGCTGCCCGCTGCGGTCTGGGCGCAGACGGCCATTCCATGAGACGTGGCGCAGGAGAAAACAGCCCCCCATCGCCTCTGTCTCCTCCCGAGCCCCCCATTGCCTCCATCCTCCCACTCAGCCCCCCATCGCCTCCTGACCCCCCACTCAGCCCCCCATCGCCTCTGTCCCCCCTCCCAGCCCTTAGTCCCGCAGCCCCCCCCCTGCATGCACGTCCGTTCCCCTCCCCGCCCCTCAGCCCCCCCTGTGCCCCCGTCCCGCAGGCCTGTAGGGCTCTGGAGGCCGCTGCATGCTGCCGGAGCTGCAGGAAGGGGCCTGGGCTGAGCTGGGAGGGAGGGGGACAGGCCCGGGCAGCGGGGCAGGGCGGCCGCTGGCGAGCAGCAGGTGGACAGACTACAGCAGTCACTCGCTTCCCCTCCACGAGCCCGCTGCTCTTCGCAGTGGCGGGGCTGGGGGTGGGGGGGTCACACAGCGGCTCACAGCCGAGGCTACGCCGATGCTGGCCGCTGGCTGGCCCCCCTGGTCTGCCAGGACTGAAGGCAGCAGAGCCACTCCGAGTGGCTGCCTGATAACCAGTTCCATCTCGGTCCCCCAAGTTCGGGCTGCTACATTTCGGGGTGACAGGTTACTAACTCAGCAGTCTGAGTGATTATTGACTCTAGGCCGGCAGACTGGTTTGCTTAGTGTGTCTTTGGTGGATCTTGGTCAGACCAAGAAGCATGATGAACTACGCTGGGGTCTCCTGTACCCCCCCCGCCCCTCCCGCCCAGCTCCCCAGATGGAGGGGAAGTGGAAAGGGCAGGGTCCCAGGGACAGAGCACATGACTCTCAGAACACCTACAGTAACCCACACAAATGAGGACCACCCGTGGGCAGAGAACCCTCCTCTGAAGTCACCCCGTGCCCTCCAGGTACCCAAGGCCCAGGTGCTGGCCCGGCATCCAGCCGCTCGCTCTGCCCCTGGCCTGTCTAGCGTCCTTTGCCTGGGTTAGATGAGAGTCAGGGCCTCCGAGGACTTGATGAAGATTGAAGACCTATTTTCTCCCCTGGGGACTAGCCTGATCTGCGAGAGAACGAAGTGGCGCCACTCTCCTTGGGAGTCAAGCTGCGCAGCACGCGTGTGCAGCCAGGCCTGCTCCCGGGGGGGTGGGGAGCAGCCCGGCCCTGCAGGGTGTGTCCCTCTGTCCTGGCCCGCCCGTCACGCCGTCCCTCTGTCTAGCTGCACCCAAGTCATGTCTTGTGGGCCGCCTCCTTTATTGGTGCTGTCGGTTGGATGATCGTGAGTCGGGGCTGGGACTGGGGGCCTGCAGGGCGTGGGGGTCGAGCTGCTGGCCGGCAGGGCCCACATCTCCCGTCCCAGATTCCTCGCTGCTTTCTTCCTTCTGACTGTTTTGCTCAGGACACTCAAAGTGCACGCAGTGGAACACCTGGGCAGAAAAAGAGAAGACCAGAGAGTGAGTGGCTGCCGGGCGGCCGCCCCATCCTCATCTCCACCCTCGTCCCCGCCAGCCCAACTAAAGGCTGATCAGTCACCACAAAAGCAAATGCCCTAGAGTCCAAGCATCCTGTATCATGGAGGGGGGGGGGAGGAGGAGGGCTTCAGGGGAGAGGGAGGAAAGGAGGGAAGGGAGAGTCCCCCAAGATCAGGTCTGATAGTCAAAGCTACCCCACATGGGCTCCTAGAGTAGCCACAGGCCCAGGGCTCGCGCTCCACACGGCGCGCTGAGGCGGCTGGCAGGCAGCAGGCTGGGCTGGGCTCTTACTGCCTTGAGCACAGGCAAAGCACTGGACTCGGATGGGCGCTGTGCCGGCTAGGATGTAGAAGGGGCGGAACACGCGGCATGGAGAGTATGCACATCATGGCAATGTACAGCCCAGGAAATACATAGGAGAGCAGCCTGTATGGGATGCCTCAGCTTAGAGCTGTAGCTGAGCCACATCCACATCCCAGGTCAGACGAGAGCCACAGATGCACATGGACGCCAGCACACAGAACCAACCGACCTGTCTTCCCAGGACGTCCTAAGGACCACCTCCAAATTTCAACCCAATAGGCAGCAACTTCTATTTAAGAAATATCAACTGGACACCGACGGCTCACACTTGTAATCCTAGCTGCTCAGGAGGCTGAGACCAGAGGATCATGGTTCAAAGCCGGCCTGAGCACGCAAGTCTAATTAAGCACAAAAAGCCTGAAGTGGTGCTGTGGCTCAGGTGATAGTGCCAGCCTGGAGCAAAAGAGCTCAGCGACAGCGAGGGACAGTGCTCAGGCCCTGAATTTAAGCCCACCCACCCACCCCAAAAAAAAGCCATCCCAGAGCCTGGATGCTAACTTCAAGGTGTAATGTACACATGAGCATCTGTGGAGAGCTGAGGCTCACAACCCACAGGGGCAGGGCACTGCTGGCTCCAGAGCGCCTGCAGCCAGGATTGTGGACTGTGCCCTGGGATGCACGGCGGGGCTGGCAGGACACCCCGCTGGCCCCGAAGGTCAGTGGAAGGGGATGGAGGTGGAGGCACAGGCAGCGGGGAGCAGGCCGAGCACTCCATAGCCAGAACCTGCACGTCTGTACACGCGCACGCGCACGCTCAAGTTCACAGAGAAACTACAGGAGTCATGCTATAAACCCCAGGCCCTCTTCCTGCATCACTGTGGCTCCCTATTCCTATTTCAGTTCATTTATCAACCACTGTTTCAAAGTTCATGTTTCAAACTCCAGCGAGGAGACGAAGACCATGCGCCTGCCGGTGTGTCCAGGTGATGCCCAGACCCCTCCCCTCCCCTCACCATGGGGCCCAGTGCTGCCCTGCCCCCCCATCTTCCTGTTCTTCCTTCCCTCCCTCCCTCCCTTTCTACCTCTCCCCCTTCGTATGCGCTCCCTCCACCCACCCATCCGGGGCCTTCACCTGTTGAGGGGGCGGGCTGGTCAGATGGCAATGCCCCGGGCTGGGCGGCATCCATTTTGAAACCTGCCTCTGCATGTCAGGCATTACTCTACCCTTCCTATTCTTCATGCTTTCCCAGAACTAAAAGCCTCTATGGGGGGGGGGGGCCTTCTTCGGCCTGCTGCACGCACGTCCTGTGGACCGGCAGCAGGTTCTGCTGTGTCCTCTGGGCCACCAAAGCTCTGACAAAACGGCCCGGCCCTGCTCTGTCCCCACAGCACGCGCCAGGCCCCCACCAGCCCCTCCACCGCTCCCTGAGCTCGCGGAGCCTCGGGCGGGCAGACACTAATCCCTGAATTGACTTACATTTGTCCTACAGCTTATTACTTCTCAGCTCAGCCCGCTCGCCCTGAATGGGTTTTCTCTCCTTTTGCTCTCACCAGCCTCTTGGCAGGCCAAGTCTGAGCTCCTCCCCAGCGCCTGCCAGCCTTCGGGAGCCTCTGCCCGTGCACTGCACTCAAGGCCTGAGTCCCTTCCACAAGAACTGAATCCATAAATGCCGGGGCTGGGAAAGGAGTTTCCGGATGAGGTCTTCTTGGGAAAGCCCTGGGAGGGGACAACTTGTGGGTCGGCGGCTCCACGCTGTCCTGGGGCCCGGCTCCAGCACAGCCTCAGTCTGCCCTTCCCCCTTCTCCCCACACCACGGGGACCACTGGCCAGTCGGTTTCCAAACAGCAATGGAAATGGCAGAGTGCCTCAGCACTGGCCAGGGCTCTTCCTGGAATACTTCCAGAAGCATCCTAACTGTGTTCTGACACCCAGTGCCCATCATGTTAGGGGTACTCTGGAGTCCCAGGCCCTGCCTGATCTGGGCAGCCATGAGGAGCCAGGGCCTCGGGACCACCCTCGGGAGTGGGGCCTGGCCGGGCGGTGCTCTGTGAACGTCTGCGCCAGGACACTCAGGCTCTTCCTCCACCCGAGGCCACAGGGGAAATCGTTACATTCAGTGTGTGTGTGTGAAGGGTCCACGTGAGGCCTGCAGTGGAGGGGAGGCGGGCGCAAGGTGGGCGTCAGTGCAGAACAATTACCACTCCCACAGCAGGCAGGGCAGGGTGAGCGGGGTAGCAGGCACCTCAGAGGGCGCTCCTGACCGGAGGCAAGGCGTGCTTCCAGGAAGGAGACATAGCCCAGAATGCCAGGAAGGGACAGAGGCCAGGCAGGCAGTGAGCAGCCCGTCAGGCTGCGGAGTACAAGGGCAACGCCGAGACAGCCTGGGAACAGGAGCATGGAAGCACGGGTGGCTGCGGCCGAGGCAGGCAGCTCAGAGCGGGTGCAAGTGCGGCGACTTCTTGCCATTTAATACTCAAAACAGATAATGAAAGGAATATATGTTTGTGGTGATAGTTTGAATGTCATCTACGCATTTTAAAAGCACATAAACTACAAACCTTTAAACCTTGAAGTTCCTGAGGTAGAACAGCATTTACAAAGAATAAGAAGGAGCTGTTTTGTTTTTGTGTGTGTGTGTTTGTCCGTCGTGGGCCCTGGTCACTGTCCCTCAGCACTTCAGTGCAAGGCTAGCGCTCTACCACTGAGCCACCTTCCCAGCTCTGAGTCTTCATTTTTAAACAGCCCTGGGAAGGTGGCTCAGTGGTAGAGCGCTTGCCTTGCATGTATAAGGTCCTGGGTTCGATTCCACAGCACCACATAAGCAGAAAAAGCCAGAAGTGGCGCTGTGGCTCAAGTGCGAGAGCACCAGCCTTGAGCTGAAGAGCTGAGGGACAGCACCCAGGCCCAGAGTTCAAGCCCCACGACCGACAAAAAAAAAAAAAAAAAAAAGTTAAAAACTCATAGAATTTGACGAGAATTTAGACTGACAAAAGAAAAGATGGGAGGCCACAGTGGTCCCTGGGATCTTCTCAAGGGACAGAGCCACCGTTCTCCACGTGGCTCCCGGGGCTCAGCTCGGCTGCCCTGGCTGATGAGCCCTGCCAGGGGCTCTTGGGATCCTGTTGCTGTTACTTATCTATTTATCTAGTTTTGGGGTTTGAACTTGGGGTTTCAAGTTTGCTGGCTAGACAGGTACCCTACCACTTGATCCACACCTCCAGTCTTTTTTGCTCTGGTTCTTTTAGAGGTCCAGGGTCTCACTTTTTGCTAGGCCTTTTTGTTTAGATCAGGCTGTCCTTACCATCCTCCTCGGATCTCAGCCTCCTGCATAACTGGACGGCAGGCATGAGCCAGGGTGCTTGGCACTGCCTTTGGTTTTGATCTTCAGGGATCTTGCTAGTACCAGCTCTGACCACAAGGGTGTGCAGGGTGGGGCAGAGGCAGCTCCACGCGGGACTGCCCACTCTTCTCACGTGGGACCTGCCACTCGCCAGGGCGGTGCACTCGCTCCCACACGCACACACTGCCGTGCGTGAAGGTGTGCAAGGCTCCTTTCGTCTGGAGAGGAGGTTAGGGCAGCCTCGGAGAGGACAGGTGCACACAGCTGGGCCCTGAATCAGGGCTGGCAGGTTAGGAGGCAACAGGAGGTGGTAGTCTTCCAGGTCGGGGGTAGAGAGAGGATTCCCACCCAGGGCATCACAGTGGCAGCCTCTCCTCTCATGCCCACTCTGGGCAGCCCTCTGGGAACACGGCCTGGTTCAGCTGATGATTCACGCCCGCCAGCCGAGGACCAAACACAGCACCAGGGCCAACAGCACCCAGCGAGCCCATGGACCATGGCAGACGTGCAGAATGCTGAGCTACTGGCACCGTCCCACCACCGCCGAGGGAGGGCAGGGCAGGGTGCCAAGAGGGGCCTCCCGAAGGGACTGAATCAGGACTGAACGCAGGAAGGTCCTGAATTTCTTCTCAGAGTGGGTGTGAAGCGAGCCCCCCTAGGAAACTGGCCGTCCACAGCAGCCAGGCTGCGCAGGCGGGGCCCGGGCCATCTCCTGAGCCTCACACGCGCCCCCCCCCGGGACGGCAAGGGAGGAGGTGTCTTGAGGTGATGGCTTGGGTGGGTGTCACCACACTGGGGGTGAGGGAGTACTCAGGAGGGCGCCTGTCCATCGCGCCACAGCAGGACTCCTCTGCACAGGCCTGTGTCTGCTGGGGCACCTGGGCCTCAGCTTTCTTTTGGCGCAGAAGCCCCCATGATTCAGTGCGCTCTTCTGAGCCTTCACTTCCCCGGGCGGCACTACCCTCAGAAAGGATGTGACCAGAAGCGAATGAGGCGTACAGGGCAGAGGCGCAGCTCTGATTTATGCAAAGCCATTACTCGGTTGCCGCGTCATTTTCCCTTCCCCTTTTTGGCAGTCGTGTATCCCATTAGCCTGTTTGATTGCTGCTGCTCACAAAGGGGCACCTTCGCTGAACCATCTTCGGCGGGCCCTGGATCTGTCCCTCGAGAGGAGCTGCCTAATTTGCAATGAAGTCGTGTGTAGGAATCTGACACAGCCCCGTCACAGTCTGGGCATCCTTTTCTGTAGCTACTGGTTATTATCACTTCGCCTCGCCCTTCTGGGAGCCACAATTCCGGACATGTCTGAGC